GTTTTTGTGGAAAGCAAAAGGGAAATTGTATGAGGTCCAGAGAGGAGCCTGCAGTTCAATCTCAATTATGACCGCTTTTTCCACAACAAGATTTCCTAGCGCGGATGTTCATGCAGCGGCTTAAGTATTTCCTTCTTATTCAATACTTAATTCGGAGTAACTCCACACACACTTCTAGACCGTTTGAAAACGTGCTCCAGCAAAGGTTCAATGTTTGTTTCAATGCGGGCGTTAGCGCGGGAAATTTAAAAGTGTCGCAAAAAATTTGGATAAACTCATATTTCTAAGCAGAAAGGCGTTGAATGGCTATCAAAATTGGCTTAAAGATGCGCAACAAGGAGTAGAAGAAGTGTTTGAAAAATCTTTGAAACATTATGAGAATGGAAAAATCGCCGTACCTTTTTGTGAATTAGGTCTCCAGCGGAGACCTACGGGAGACCTCAGGTCTACGATTAGCAAGCACTTTTGTTCCTCATAATTTTACGTTCCTTATAGCAACACTTTTTGTGCACCTCATGGCCCAACTTACAGCGCAATAACTAGACCACAGCACTTTCTCCCTTTCTTGCTAGGGCCCTAAATTGTTTTTCTTTAATGAAGACAACGCGCTCCAAGTGTACGGCACTGCAGGCTTGTCCTGATTGCACGCGTTTTTACAGGTTACAAAGTGGACTTCCTAATTTCCTGTATGCTCAAGTAGGTTTTCGTTCTCGCAAGGTTCAATCGGAGACTCGTGCCGAGGCCTGGTACGGACGATAGTCAAAGGAAATTATCCTAATTACCAGAAGATAAGCCGCATCTTGAAAGCTCTATCGGGCGCAGGATCAGCGCTCGACGCGGTATCAGGGCGCACATTTTTTTCAGCTGTACCCAAATATCGGTTGGTGTGCTACACGGATGCGACGCACACAACGTGATTGCTTCACGCAAAGCTTTAAGGGCTATGATATAAGGTGGTTTGATGCTGGATTTCATTCACCTTGGTTAGACCATTCTTGTTAAATTATGCAGGCTTCATGAAAAAGCGTAATCTCACTTTCATTAAAACAGAAGTAGTTCAGCGAAATTGTTGCCTCAAATTTTCAAAATCGCAAAGGATATTTTTTAATACAAAAATGACCATGTTCATCTTCTCAGAATTACAGATATAAATAAAGCGAAGAAGGAGTCGTACACCAACAGCTATGATTCGCATTACTCTTGCTGTCTTGTTCACTCTTTCTATTGTTACTCTCTCGGAATGTGGCTGCTATAAAAACTGGAGTCGCTGTACTCCTCAAACAGCGGTGAGTTCTCTATATGACCGGAGATTTATCAATGCAGTACAACTAATATTTTATTACTGTGACGGGACTGTCAACATGCTCAAAAGTCGCGCGCTCGTTGTGATTTTTACCATTTACATCTTATGTTTATGAGAACCATATATCATGAAAATAGTTTACCATTTATTGGCTGATCGAATCCGTCAAAAGGTTTTTTTTTTCGTATTTTGCTCTTGCCATTCTAAATACCTTTTGTTTTCTCGACAATTAAACTAATGCA